TATCGTTTTCTGTAACTTAGATGAGTCGCGCCTGCCCGGAAGTGGAGTTAGCTAACGTAAAAAATAACTGACATTTCCTGCTGGTTTGATTATAGTCGTGCTTCAGCAGCGAATGTGAAAAGTCGTAGATAACGAAGCAGCCTGGAGTATATTTCTTTTTCTATCCCACAAATTAAATATTTATAATGAATTACAAAATTTACTTTAAAGGTTGTCTTAAAATAGGCACGAAGCCCTCAATTGACCATAACGAGTATGATTGTAATCTCCAGGGAGTTATTACTCTCAACTCCATTAAGGCGGCATTTACATTTGCTGCAGGTCAATTGGCGTTGGAGTAGGAAGAACTTAATTAGTCCGAGCTCTAATTCGCATTAGGGAGGGGAATATTGCAGAACTTTTATCTTTCTTTTCCACACAAACAAATTTGATTTCCTGCGCTAATTAAGCATTGGAGATTCCCGAAAAAATTGCTCGCAGTGAAGGCATGAAATCACTTGGCAACTTAAACTTTCTCGCCCAGAACTTCATCGATTCAGCAATATATACGAATGCTTATACGTATGTAGGCATGTATGAATGTATGTGTGACGTTTCTGTGCAACGGAAATGACTAAAGTTGAGCATTTCGCCAGAAACTTTTATTTGACTTCTTCGTCTCAAACGGATGTTCGGACATCTCTTTTAGTTGTTGTTGCTGCTACTAATTTCCAGTGTTATGTGCACCGTACAAGCATTCGCACATATCGTTCCGTCTTCTGCTTTGTTTTTACACCAAAGCCAACGGTTCCGCAGTGACAGCACAACAATCTTCGGAGTCCACCGTCGCAGCACCGAAGTACAAAATCACTTCAGACTGGAATTAATTTGCGTGCAGAAAGCGATGGGTGTGACGTGCGAGTTCGAGACTACAAAGTGTAGCTGAGTCAAAGCGCCAAGGCACTCATAGTCGTCACGGTGAGTTATCGAGCTATTTTGCCGTGATTTCCATTTGAGGAGTTTTCCTGTTTACTGTGCGTGTGGTAACCTGAGATGGGTGGATATTAGAGCAGACGGTATTTAATGTCGATGCACAGATACATAAATACATGCACTGCGCCAAATTAAAGTGAGCACACACACGTACATACACATATTAGAATGTAGTATAAAAAGGATTCATATATATTTACCCTCATGGCAGTTGTTCCTCTCTGAGGAAAACCTTTATTAGCTAACAAAGACATACATACATATATATGCAATTATACATATAGTATATGTATATAGCTAAGCATGAATCGCAATTAAAAGCTTTCATGCTCATATCACCTGCTGTTACTATGGTAACACTCGTCGACAGGCGGAGACACGCGCTCACCAATCCACACTCCAATATTATCTTTACAGACAGCCGAAGCTGTAAGAACGAGACACTCTTGCTTTATTTGAGATATCCTGCGAACGCGAGTACTCCATGCAAGCATGAAATATGACAATGGAAATTAAATCCTAACTGTTCAAAAGATATGGTTCAGCCATCATAACGATGTCCTAGAGCTGGGCCATGTACTCCACCTCTGCTTAACATCTGAGTACTCTATGGAGTACCTGCAGGAAATTAGTTTGGGAACTACAAATATCTGTTTTCGGCCGAGCTTCTCCTCCAATTCGTGGTTTTGCGTCCTGATGTTATCCCAACAAATGTAGGGATCTACAGTTTATACGTGGCCGCCTCCGAGCGGCTGACGGTTTTTTTTCGAGGAGCTTTATTTCAAGCTAGAAATACACTAAGAGGCGTTGATATTTCCTGCCGAAGGGCAACTGCGTTAATTTAGCTTAATTTTCTATTTAAATAAATTTTTGAATGTCACGACACCAGTATTCGAGCCCGAGCCTTCCGAATGTAGTATGCGGCCACCATACACACATACATATTTATTGTATTTCAACTGGTATATAAATATGAATTTATAGCTGAAACTTCAGCACGTATTCTATGTACCAGGAGAGCTCACCATCGAATCGAAACCGACTCCTTGTCGTCTGTTTTATACATTTTCTGTATATAAAATTTATTGCTGCCCTGCACTTTTGTTCAGTTAATACGATCATCAAAACACGAGCAATCATCGGCTAACAACAAGCTGGTTGTGTCGGTGGGTTGGTCCAACACTGCACTACGGAGGAGTAATCTAATAGGTACTCCAGTGTATCATATAGTTCACAAATTATGTACGTGTGTATGTTTCATGCAGAGGAGTCTTTATTGTTTGCTCTTCTGCCAGTTGTCTTAGCAACTTTTCCGTCGATATATTAATTTAGTTACAGCTTTAAGTGTTGTAAAGGAAATAAAAAATTGTGCAAATCACAAATTACCACAAAGAATATTCTTTCCAAAGTAAGCCACTCTGCTTTAAAGTTAGTAGTAAAATGGAACACAAGCCTAGGCTCTGAAAAAAAAACACTACTCGAAGACGGTTACGGATTTAACTACTGCAGTGGAGCTGCAAAAAGCTTCTTTTATTTCCTCGTACCTTAGCATGGCACTCTTCTAGCACAGGGGTTGCCCCTGTCTCCTGATATACGACTTAATGGCAAAGTAGGTCTGTGCCAAGTTGCAGCACAGAACTACGTAAAAGTACTAAAGAAATGCTATACTCTCTGGGAGAGTCCGGAAAGACAAAGCTTTATGACTACGGCTCTGCGAGTATATTGTTCTCTTCTACTTTTGAGGTTAAATCATCTTCAGTAAATTTCACTGTATCTGCTGACGTACGGTCATTTTGTACTGCTCGTTCGCACACCTTGCACTACATCAAAAGCAGCAATAAAAACAACTACAAGGAAAGTGAAATCAAAACAACCTTTTTATAGCCAGAGAACGTTCAATTTTGTTTTCGCAGTTGCCCAGTGTCGCACGCACACTATCAACTCGCCCCGAACTCCATAGAAACTGCATTGTAACTATTCCACATTGCAACAATAACAACAACTCCAAAGGCAATGTTTAATAAATGTACATATGTATGTATTTGTTTGAATGCAACAATCGACGGTTTTTGTTGTTGCTATTCCTCTTACTGCTGATGTGTTGCGTTAATGTAAATGTGCGGTTTGGTCGCGCTGAAAGCTTTGTTATCTTTGCTGCTTCTGTTGCGCTACGTAAACAAGAATTTATTATAGCTTGACAAGTCAGCAGAACTACGTACACCTAACCAGCGGTGAGCTCTTGAAATAGTACATGAGTTCCACAGAATAACTACGTTGCTGCATGGATAGTAGACAGACCAAGCAAAAGAGAACTTAACATCGTTAATATTCTAATGGGTGTATTAACGGGGTATCTACCCTTGAGATATCACAAAGTGGAAAAGGTTGTGTGCATAGCATGGACAGAGGGTGACAAAATGCTGCATCACCACCTATGGGCCTTCAGCTGGTTGAGACGTCAAATCTTTCATGATGCTCTTAACTCCAACCGCACGTAGGTGGGCACGAGTAATTGGAAAAACCTTAAACAATTTATGAAACCGAGCAAACTCTGGAGGCAGCTCGAGCTCTTCGTCCGCTATGTATGGAGACTTGACGCCCCGCGCGCCATTTACTGGAAGGGAGTCTTTGAAGGTGATAATTGACTTATGGTGAATGGCATGTACTGATTGCCTGTATGCTTTCCTGTCCAGCATTAGGCTCCTTAACTTGTAGTATAGATGCAAGTGATGCCCAGGCGACATCAGAAGGTTTCCTGTCGCGGTCCTAATGGCAGTGTTTTGGCAGACCCATAGCTTCTTCAACTGCTTCTCGTTCGTCACTTTTGAAGTTTCGTTTAACCTCCACCAGACTTATAGTTATATAAGTTTAAATAATATATTTGCCAATAAGTTTTCATGACAATGTTGGGCATGGGGCGTTTTGTAAGATTTAGAAGAATAAGTTTCAGTATAAATATATGAAAGCTGCTTTATTAACAATTAGTTACTTCGACTATTAGTTTCGGCCTTAGCACAAAATTAATATTTACCAGATGATAATAAAAAAATTGAATGTCTATTATGATACTTTCAGAAAGAATTTTGAAAGACTTGGGGGTGTGGCTTAATGTTGCTCTTTCGTGAGAAGCATTTATTTTAAAATGACGCTCTGGCCACAGATCACACATTTCGAAGGAATATTATTATTTCATCAACAGTAGAAGATCGCATCAGGGTTAATTAATATATTTCTTTTAAGTTAAATTGCCTAAAATTGGTCCCTAATAAGGCCAAAAAATTGAAGCAAAAACCTCTAGGTTACACAACAATACTTGTGAGTCTCATGGAGAACCAAGTTTTTTCTGCTGAAGTTTTTTATTTTTGTTGTATGAACTTAAGAAAAAAAACTTTGCGTCGTAAGGGTAGATATCTAGCCTCATTTGCTTTTCTCAAGGGTTTGACAGGAGCGGTTTTCTTTACTGATTTAAACAATATCTTTTTGCTTTTATACCTTTCGTTTACATGAAATGATATATCAACGTTGGTCAAAAGCAGGTAAGTTCCCAATTTATACCGACTAGTCCCTCAATTCTCGAGTAACTTATTTCGCTGGTCTGGGCTTTTTGGTCATAAATCTGTCAAATAGACATCTTAGAGCGTGAAGTTTGGTATTGGTGGCGAATGGTATCGGAGGACTATATCATGCAGCCTTTATTCAACTGAATTGCCCAGATAAGAAGTTTTTTCGAATCTCCTTCCAGCCACTGGTGAGTGTGGATTCCCTTTATCAAGCTAGCTTTAACTCGTCCAGAAAGCATACCACGGAGCCTGGTGATTTCACCACAGGGCTCAATTCGCTATTGAAATCTACGTGCTCTTTCTGTATAATAGCATATATGTATAAGTATGTACATATGTCCAAATGTCTACATACGAATTACGAATTATGAATCTCGTTCATTGTTGTTGTTTATATTGCAGCTGCGTTTATTTGTGATGCAAGTGTTGCATATATTTAAGTTGTTGTTGTTTATTATTCTTCTACAGTTGTGGGCGTTTATACTGTTGGCAATTTTCGTTTGATATTATGGTTTCGAACTAATAAAATTGGTCTAAATGAAGAACATGGTAAGTATGTTTGTATGTACATATATATATAATACTCGTGAATGTATATGTTTATGGAGAAGTGCACAAGATTTTGACCGGAGCCTAGGCTGAAGCAGAAGCCTAGGTGAGTTTTCATTTAAACTTTACAAGCAATTACGGTATCTACTATTGTTGTCATAAATCTACATATGTACATTTAAGCACAAATCAAGCTCTAATGTAACGCCATGGACCAAGTAACCAGTGTGCCGAAAAGTGATTGTATGCATGTACATATGTATGTATATATGTTATTACTCCTTGATTATTTTTATTAAAAATAAATGTAAATTCAATGGGCCAACTAACTTAATCCATCTTTCATTCACCCTGAAAGCGCTGCTACAACTACTGCGAAGGTTGTCTATAATACAGACAGATACGAGAAGGTATCGAAGAATATAATTATGAATATCAATTATTTTCATTCAATGTCACAAAGCGTTAAACTCTCGTAAAATTTGAATGTTTGCCTTAATTCTCCCCATAGTACTTCAGGCATGGCAATTAAAAGGACCTACAAAATTGTTCCCGGTTAAGTATCGAACTTCAATTGACCACATGGGACAAAGCCTCTCTCTCAGCTTATGGTAACGTCATTTATGATCCCAAATGCTGTATTCAAAATTGTTCCGACTTCATACCGAATTTATTCCGAATCTTTTGAATTTGTGATCCAGTTTTATCAGACGGAGTAAAGCGCGGCAGTCGTGCCTCAGTTCGTATGGCTTATTTGAAAATAGGTTGGTCACACTTTTTAATTTTCTTTAACAAAACGATAATCTATTAGTTGGGTCTCCCTCTCGGTTAGTACAATTGAGGGCCTAATGAAAGTTATTTAAGTGTTCTTCAGGAAATTTAATTTTCATAAAGCATTCTCTCAGCAATTTTTGATGGGTATCATATGAGTATGTTATATAACACGCACATAGTAGACTAAATACATGTGGTCTTTACACACATACTATAAATGTATGTATATATTTATGTATACCCATAAAAGAAAACACACGTGCATATTGAGCTTAGAAGTTTATTTTCATAGCCACTTTGTTATTCCAACACAAATTTGTATTCACATAAATGCGTTTGCTTGTGGTTATTTGTACACGTAAGTGTGCATGCGACTGTGTGCGTGCGATATTTAGTGGCCAAACATCAGTTCAGTCTTCAAAATGCCTCCTCCACTCAGCTGCGATATTGTCCGGTTTTCGCTTTGCCTTTCCCATCATTCTATTGCATTTAACGTCTGTATATGCTACTTATAGACTTTATTTGTTGATACTTACTTACCTTCGGTATCATAAGGCCCAAAGCATACAGAGTTAAACACACACGGACACATATTGATGCCATCATATTTCGTTTATTCGTGTTTGCTCTCACTTAAATTGTGATAAAATAAAATATTTCTGAAAGAGCTTGTGATTGAAGAACGAAAGAAAAGCCTCTTCACCAATACAAATCCAAAAATAAATGTAAACAGAATTTTATTTTATGTACTTTTCGTGCTGGCAATGGCAGGATCTTGACAAAAGGACACATTTTCATCCAGTACACTCATACACATATTTACATACATGCAAATATACTTAATAAATATTTCACATGCGTACGTACACGTACATTGTGATGAATATGTACGTTTTCATGCGCATGCCAGTAGTCATATTAAGGCTTTCACTATTAATATCCATATTCGTTTGTATTTATGTTGCAATAAAAGTCTGTATTAATTTTTCGTAGGCCAAAAGCCAGTTGATGGATGCTGTGTCAAGCTCTTATTTGAGTGGTAATACATCCGTATACATATTTATATATAGATATATTGTGCATATGAATATAAATTTGCTGATATTGCAGTCGGACTTTTAATCAAGTATACTCAAGACACTACTCGGCACAAATGTGTTCATAATATTTATAGGCTTCAATTTGCCTTTACTTTTACTTTAGATATATATGTAAAAAAAAGAAGAAGAAGCCTGTGTGTGTTTTTATTATACTTGTATAGCAATAAACATAGTAGCATACATATCCACCTTCATAGGAGATTATGAATAACAACATAAGAGCATGGTATTATTTACACATACATATCTATATATATATGCATATAAATATTTTTATTTTATTTTATCTTTTATTTCACCTGATTTCATTTTAATCTATTTTATTTTACATTTCATTTTAAGTTATTATATTTTTTTATTGTTTTTAATTTAAGTTCATTTTTTTTATTACATATATCTTAATTTATTTTATTATGTTTCATATTTTTTAATTTTTTTTGTTATAAGTTATGTTATTTCATTAAATTTTAATAATTGTTATTTATTTATTTAATTTTTTTAATTTTATCTTATTTTAATTTATTTTATTATATTTTTATTTATTAATATTATTTTATTTTATTATATTCTTTTTTTTTCTTTGGTTTTTTGTATTTTATTTTATTTCAATTCTCGCTTTGCAATGTCCATTCCAAATGATTTCCCACAAAAATTGCAGCTAAATCAAGAATCAAAGAAAATATTTAAAAGCATAAAATTCCTTTTTTAATTAACCTTATGGAATTGCACAACTTCGAAATTTTGAATTAGGATTACGTAGATTTATATTGTAGAAGAGTGAGTTTATATGTACAAGAATTGCTCATCCGTGAATGAATGTGTGCATAGCCGAATACGCATGCAATAAAAATCAATATAACTTGTATCTTTGTAATAATCCCAGCTGGATTAAACACTCATTCATGGAGGCAAAATAAAATTTCAAAAATTGTGAGTATTCGAGTGTTTGCTTGATTTGAGGCCAAAGGAAACTTTAATCTTTTGGATCTTTTGTGCTGGAGCTTAAATTTCTGCTTCTATGTGGATGCGTTTAGATCTTTTCCTTAATATTTATTTAATTTAAATTCTTTGAGTTGCAAAAAAGTGCTGAGCTCAGAAAGGAATGCAGAGGTCTGCATGCATACGTGTATAGATGAATATGTGTGTTCCCTAAATGAAACTGTTGTACATGGGATTGCAGTTAGTAAGTCCCATGACACACGTGTATACTTAAATATTTGCTTTGGCAGAAAAAACACCAAGAGAAACAAAGATAAATTCATTTCCGAAAAACTGTCAATGGTTGTAATTCAATTTCGAATTCGATTAGCTGAAATAAATACAAATAAATAAATGAACGGCAGCTCAAGCCGCATCGAAACGGAGAGAATGACAGCTAGAGAGAGATTGGGAAAGTTGTGAAAGGTAGTAACATTCATACTTACGTTCCCAGTTGGGCATACACCTGAGCTCTTGTACAACTGACCTGCCAAGGCAATGCAATTTCAGTCCTCTGATCTCGCTTCGTTCTCCAATTAAGACTAATAATGACATGACATGGCTTCTCAAGATATCATCTCTTTCATGGATACACAATATCCATTGAAGTACACATACATTTGCGTAATGTCTAGTCATTTACCTCTGAGAATTCAAAATATGCACACCTCTCCACCTCCCTTCAGTTAACCCAACGAGCATTGCTCACAGATTGACCTGAGTCGCTGCATATCATCGTCAACTTCATGACTATGAGAAGAACTATTAATAAATTTACTGTGGCCAACGAACACCTCTCGCGGGATGGGTTTCCTCTTCATTCTCGAATATATTGCCGAAAATTTCCGCGTAGATCGCTTTTCGGTTTCGCTTGACGTCCAAACCTAAGTTGCCAGCATTCCGTGACTGTCACAGCTGCGTGTTTCTCAGTTCAGATTTCTCTAGAGTCCTATAAAGTTGGTGTAGTCTCTCTATCATAGGTGGTATTCCTGTTCTCCTCAAAAATTCTAGATTTTTCAACCTTCTTACCGTCTTACGCAAACACAATACCAAAATTTTATGGGTACGAATTAGCGGACCGGTCCATTGAATAATAATAATTCAACTAGTTTACATTTTTACACCAACCAGATCATCTTCATCCATTTTCTATGTAAGCAACTGATATTTTTAACACGGCGATGACCTACGAGCTGACCATTGTCCTACTATACATCAGCTCCATACCAGCTTAATACTAGTTCATTTAGGCTTGTTGAATTTCAACTTTCACCAAAGAACGAAAGAGCGAGAAACGAACTGAGACCCTCACGCACCGCAGTGGAGACCTCTAACCACCAGACAATCGTTATGATATTTGGAGGTACGAGATTTGCGAACTTCAATAGAGCTTTTTAGGAAATGAAACTCAGCCGTGTTATACTAAAAACAAAAACAACATACGAACAAGGTGGAAGTGCAAAATTCTGTTTCACCAAAAGATAAAAAGAAAATAAAGCTTAAAAGTTAATTTATCTCTAGCGGGACTCGAGCCGGGGCCTTAACACGTTACAGAAATAACCTCTAACCACTCGGCTACCTTGACGATCCATCACTCCGATCGATGTCATTTTGCGAGCTTCACCAAAATAGAGCAAAGAATGGAATTCTGCCGCGGACTGCAAAAATAAGAACAACAAGCAGTGCAGGAAATTGCTATTTCTCCCGTTGTTAGTGGACTTTTCTGGAAATAACGAACTGGTATGACTTTATCTTCAACACACTGGTATTTAACTAGAATTTTTGCATTTTAGTTGGTTTTCGTCTGCAGGGATATTACAGTTAAGCAGTTGGCGCCACCTCCTAACTCCTAACTCCATTTGAACACCAAAACAGAAATGGTTGATGGGTTCTTACTCTCTCGAGTGCCTTGCTCATCCTTCTCTGATAACCGCAAAGCAACTCGTTTCGCACAAAATAACATTTACTTAAATTGCTTACAGCTGTTGTGTGCCGTTATGCTATAGTTATTGAAAGTTGTTGTTCTTGTTGTTGTTTGTGCTGCTATTGGTGTATCTTTTACAGTTGCTTCTGCATGCTCTTATCATCACCACGCTGACGACCGTTGGGACCACACCTCCACCACAT